AAGTCTGATCCAAACCAATATTTACACATTGCCACACAGCATTGTTTTAGCACTTTATAAAAGTGAAAGCTCCCCTTTAACAGCATAAATTGTGACTTAAACTAAAGGGGTTCGTTCAGCTCACTGAGCCAGACTCAAAGGTTTGACTCAGTAAAATGAACCAAACTTCCCATCACTGTCTGCTACTGTGTAAATGTAGCAAGAGTCCTGTACTTTACTCAAAACTTTAAGAGAACTATATACAGTAGAGTAATAGCTTATGTTTCAAGCAGTGCTGAACTCAGAGACCTTGATGCACACTAACAGCATGCCACTGATAAGTGCAACACCAACTAAACCTTAAAAGCAGCAGCATGAACATTAGGGAGCCAGATTTGCTAAATTGCTACGGCAATATACTTGTTTACATAACTCACTGTCCGCCTGCAATCTGACCTCGCATCGTTTATTACCTAGGTAAGTGGACTACGTATCCTACTTTGACATCTCTGCCCCTTTTAGTACATTTTTGAGGGGTTACATCAGACTTGCCCAATCAACAAAGTGCGCAGCATCATATTTCTGCAATTCTGCTTGTACAATGTGCAGAAATACATAACAGTATGAACTCCACATCGGTTTCCAAAGACCGTGGTGTTGTCACAAGAAAAGATGGCCATTGCTTAACACCCTTGGCTAGTTTGATTTAGATGTCGCTTTCTCAGCTTCAAAAGCCAAATATAATTCATATAAATCATCAGAAAGTCAGTGCTGTTTGATGGGTGACTGTTGTTCTGTGCTCGGGGAACTGGAATGCAGAATGGGTATGTTTGGAGATCTGTTATGAAACACAGGAACTTCATGCACTGAATTTAACAGCGTACAAAGCAGCTTGATCAAAATTCCTGTAACTTTCAAAGTGATCTTGGAAAATCAAATGGTTTTTCCAAAGCTGGAAGGGTCAAAAAGAAAAAAAGTGGATAATCTGTTAGCCATATCAGTTTATTTATATCTACTGTAATGCATCCTCTGTGGGACTACAAGCAGTCTAGCCGAAATTTGGAGAATGATTCAGGAATATTTAAATAAATTTACTGATATTTTAAAATCTCCACAAAGACATGTAGATATAATACACATTTTGTGGAAAAACGACTTCATTTCTTTCCTGTTTGACTGCAGTTTTAAAGTAAAATGACTAGTTATTCTCAATAAAGGATATAGACAGATACTGCAAACATGACGTGTTTTATTATGTTGGTCAATGGATGTTTCATAGCAGTTTGGAAATTAAATGTCTAAAACTGAATGTGTGATTAGTGGTACATTTCATAACAATTGCATAGCAGTGTGTAATTATTAAAGCAACAATTCACTTTTTTTACACTACTTTGAATCATTTTAATAAAAAGCGTTTTAATGGACTCTGTCATTCATTTACATTTAGCTTCGTCCCTAATTGGCCACAGCAGATTGAACTGCCAACTACTCTGGCATATGTTTTACACAACAGATGGCCTTCTAGCTGCAACCCAGCACATGGGAAAAAAGGACTCTGTGCACTGCTTATTACAAGTTTACCAGGTGGGTAAGGTTACTTCATTGGAAAATATAGAATTAAACTTGTTCAACCCTATAGGTCTATTGATCATTGAAAGCTGTGAATTATTTATTTATATTGAAATTTTATTGTATTTATATGGGATTGTATTTATACTCTTGTCTCTTTGGCGAACTTCATCATTCTTGAGGTCAGATGTTCTACAATGTTTTACTTGGTAGTCTACGATCAAAGATCCAAAATGTAGAGTTCCATGTGCAATTTATTAGACAATTAAGCAAAATATAGTGGCAATCAGTTTTTTGCTATAAAACACGAGTATGTACTAATCCATTTAATACAAAAAAATTTAATAAAATAAAATAAAATAAAAGGTCCAAACCTAAACTTAACCATAGGGGAGTGTTAAGTCTTTCATATAAAGTGATATGAATGAGCAACTAATTTGCAAATATTAGTAGTGTTTCTTTACAAAGTGCCATTGGCAATTTCCAGTCTGGCATGATATAGCATTTCTTTTTGTCATTTTTGCAGATCTCTGTGTACGGAGATTGTTTTGACAAAAGTTGTCACATATATGCATAAACATTTCAGATTTACCTTTAACCATATCTTAAATTTCAGGTAACCAGTTTTTTATGTCCTTCAGTTATTTACATTAAAATTAAACTCATCAATTCTATTTGTACTACTGACATTAACAGAAAATATTTTGACTCCTTTGGCTTAGTCTCTATTTTAGAGGTTGCCACAGCAGAATGAACTGCCAACTATTTCAGCATATGTTTCACACAGTGGATGCCCTTCCAGCCGCAACCCAGTACTGGGAAGCACCCATACACTCATGCTCACACACACTCATATGCCACGGACCACTGAGCTACCGTGCTGCCCATCAAGCATTCAGTCTTTGCCAACACAATATTGCAAAAGCAGTCGAAATACATCATCTGGAAATAGTTTGTCTTGTAACAATTTTATTAGTTTCTATTTCAGGTACTGTAAGTGCAAATGCAGATACCCCTGAGACTCACAGCTGTATGAATGTTATAGCTGTTATGGTCAATATCAGTCTGACATATCCAATACATGTGAAATACAAAGCAAGTTCAAAATAGCACCAATCAAATGACCCAGAAATAAATCCAGCATCCAACAAGAGTATAGGGAGCATAAATATTTAAAGACAATTAAAAAGTAAGGCACGTAAAACCCTTTGGCACTTTAAGAGGGAAGGACACTTGAAAACAGGGTGAATAATCAAATAGGACAGCGCTTCCTTCAGGTCTCACGCCATATTTCTGTCCTTCCAGGAACTGTCACGGCAAGACAATTTTGCAAATCAAATTTTTCGGCATTCACTTATAATTTTATTTTACTAAGAGTTACAAATAAAAACTGCAAGGATGATATAAGAGACTAAACTCTCGGTTGTGTGAGCATAAAAGACTCAAGGGAGGGAATTTGTGAGGTGCTTTTATTTTAGAATGGAAAGCGTTCACATGAACACACACAGTAATGGTAATTATAATGATTATGATGAAGTGTTGAATAACATTAGCACTGTGTATTTTCCTGCCCCTGCTGTGGTGCCAAGGCCATCCACTTTTAACCCAGCTATATTGGCACAAAAACTGCATCAGGGAGGACTTTGGTAGGAGAGGAAAAATAATATATTAATATTAAGAGGATAAACATAGTTTAATCTAAGGTGTTTTTCACTTCGTTCACTATAAGCTGGGTTACATTCGTTATTATTATGATTTTCAAGAAATTATAATTTCCCACCTCAGTTTTAGAGGCAAACATTTCAGTGTTTTTAAATGAGTCTAAATCTTATTTATCATTACTAACCCTAATAGTACATTTTGACTTATTCATTTAAACATTTTACATTTTACAGTTTGTTTCTTGTAATAAACCATTAGGGATTTTAGACCAAACATATATAGTATGATTTAATATTTTAAGAAAGACTTTTTGAAAGAATCAATAATTTATTTCTATGTTTTTAAGCATCACAACACTATTACTCTATCTTGAGATCCTTCAGAAAAAATACTTTATAAATAAATAATATGCAAAATAAATAAATATGCTGATCTGTCAATTAAGAACCAATTCTGATTATTATCTATGTTGAAAACAGTTATGCTTCTTAATATTTGTTACATTATATATACATATATGCACAAACATTTATTGAAATTTTTTATATTTCGCAATGTTGCCATTTTTAGCAAATAAATGCAGCAATGAAAACTTCTTTCAAAGAAATTAATCCGTTAACCAGCACTGTGCACTATATATTCTGTACATTAAACTCAGTTTATAATATATTTTCACATTTTCAATAGTATTTCTTTCTATAAGTTCAGCCATGGGAATGCAAATTTGAGCATTTCCTGAAAAACAATCCACAATAAGTTGTAATGTAATTAAATACTGAACAGGAGGGTCATCTGATACGTTTTATTTTAAATTAGTGACTGCCTATCAAATTACAATTTGGATCAGGTCTACCCCTGGTCATGCTCCTCTACAGGATGATACTGTATGACCCTTTACTAGAAAACACAGCTTAGTAAGGGTCATCAAATACAAGTTTTATTTCGTAAAATAATACATATAAAAATGTACATTACATGGGTTATTTATTTGGAAGTACTGACAGTTAAAAAGCCATTTTAAAGCAACAATGCAAGTCTGTTTTGGACTTTTCTGAATCATAAGCTGTAGACTGAGATTCTGCTAAATATTTTATGGTGAGATTCTGATAAAGTGTTTATATTTCTATAAAGGACCACACAGGCTACTTTGAAGCGAATGACTCATTTCAGCAGCTGACATATTACACACTTTATTAAAATATACTTAATAGCTATATTCTTAGTAAGAACGTGAAATGTCTCGGATGCTGAGATGTTGGATGTTGCTTTAGTTGCACTTGCATGCCATTTATTAATTTCAAGTTCTGTAAAATAACGAGTTCAAACTAACTTAAATGAGGCGGATAAAATAGACATGCGCTTCAATGTAGTACACAAAATATGATATTAATAACCAGTTTAATCACGCCCGCGCACAACACCTGCTTTATTCGCGACCAAACATTTAAATTATCTATTGTGAACACATTAATTCATATAATTATTAATATTCATAAGCTGTTTCATTCTGCTGTGATTTATATTTAGTGGTTCTCGCCGCAGATTTAGTCAAAATAACAAGCAGCGGAAGTTATTCTGCGAAATACCACAACACAGTGAATTAGACGTCCAAACCATGTCCAAAATTAATTATTTCGCAAATTAAAAACGCCTTATATGGTAAAAATCATCATGAACAACACCATGATGATCATTTTAGCACATTTCATAACTCAAACCTAATGCTAAAATAGAAAGTGGTTAGATATCAACATAAGCCACATAAGCAAACATATTAATACACGTCCTACCGTTCAGAGAGACATGTTCGTGAATTGTTATAATGAAAATGTTCTTTGAATTCCTTCAGTTGCGTTGATGTGAGGCTAAAGGTGCTGTAGAGTCAATCCAGTTTCCTCAGTAAATCAGAAAAGTTGTTTCGCTCGGCTTCTCGGCGAAAAATGAATCATTCTGTAGCTCCAAAGTGTGAATGAAACTGCGCTTCCACACGTCCATATCGCTCACATAAACCATCCGTGAGCGCGCACAACACCGAGCGAGAACGCGCGTCACCTATGAAACATCGCAAAGCAGACGGACGTTCTTGTTATTTAAAGGTGCAGCAGGCAAAAATAACGTCGCATTCCTGAAAATGTACCTGGCACTTTTATTTGACACCTTGAGTCGTTGAACTTCTGTCTTGTGGAGCTTACTGCAAACAATAGAAATATGAGTACACAAAGAACACTCACTGACAATTGCACTGTGGTGTTGAAAGGTTTGTTTGTATTGTTATAAAACTTTCCCCGCATGGGTTGTGCCTTCTGCTTGTTCATCATGACAAAAATAGGTCATCTATCATCAGCTATCAATAGCAACCGTTCTGCCATTTGCAAATCTACAAAGCAGCAACAACAACGTTCAGGCTTTTTCACCAGCATTCCAGATATTAATAGCCAATATGACAAAACAAAGCCACTCCCAGGATTTTACAAACTCTTTATTTTTATACATGTGCGGAAAATGCAAAAAAATCCACTATACTATGGCGTGCATCAAATATACATAAATAAAATAAAGTAATAATGATATAAATACATTAAATGTCATTACGCACACTTAATATAATGTCAAACCATGATACTTCTCCTTCACCTTTCACTGACTTCTTTACACATTTTGGGTTCAGTTTTTCCCCAGTTTAAACATAATGTTTCCCATTGGACAAAAATAAATAAATAAAATAGCTTTCATCACTAAAGTTAATGTCTGGACCAGCTCTCTGTCCATGTAACATGCTCCTTTAACTTATAGGTGTATCTGAAGGTTCATCCCTTTGACCGTCACCTGTTGGAGGATTTCAGTGAATGTAGAAAACCTTTAAATGTTGAACATTTAAATACTGTCTCTCCATTCCACCAATAGCTGGTGTGGTGAGCGCACTGGCATTGTTGTCCTGTGGCTGCGTTGCATCTTCCACATGAATGCTGCACACTGGTGGTGGTGTGGAGAGACCCCCTCCTCTAATGATTGTAAAGCGCTTTGGGTGTATATGGCCATACACAATAAATGTGCTATATAAATACACATTACTTACTTACTAACTTACTTTTTCATAATGTGATTAAAATGTATGTAACTCATATGAAATATGCTTGTTTCTCTTTTACCCCTGTTAGGATAACTTTAATAGGGCTAAGCATTGACAGGAAATTTAGGAATTTTATTCTCAGTTTTTGAACTTCACTGTAGGCTACTGTATATTAAACTTTTAAGTCATAAAAAATAGTAAAATGCACAGTTCATATGCTTCAAAAGCAGGAATTAATGCAACCTAATGGGTGACACGTACAGTATGGTGTCAAGAAGCTAAATGAAACACTCAGCAGTGTTAATGTTTAGCCTTTGTATTAAGGTAAATCACAAATGACCCACTTTTTACCAGACCAGTTCATGTTTTGTTGTACATTAGCAACTGAAAATCTACCTTGGGAATCCACAGTGCAATTACGGATGAATGCTTCATCTTCTATTTTTAAACAGTATCACTTTAGTCACTGTCGATAGAAGGTTTGTCATAATCATGCCTTAAACACAAGGTATTATGTCTGTTTTTCACACCCAAATCACCAAGATGGCAGATTAAAGCACATAATTAATATGAACCAAACCCAGCATGACTCAAATGAATATTTGCCAAGACTGTATTAACAGTTCCCAGTATCATTCATGTTAGCTGTATTTTTTTAATCATAAACTGATATTGTTTAATATACTCTCAACATTCAATTTTTTTATGTAAACCTCAGGCTCATTTTAAATCACTGAATTGTTCAGTCTTTTAGTAAAATTGTAGTATTCAGTTCAGTAAGTCTACATCTCAAGTTCAACATTCAAATCTACACAGGTGAGGAATAATTTTCAATGTGTGCCTGAGAACTCAACATCATGCACCAAAATATCTCTTCCTGAAAGGATGTGGGGGCACACTTCCAAAATATTATGCAATCTACAAAGAGCCATAGACATAATATTACATAATTTTCTGGGTAAATTAAAGTGGGTTCACGTGGGTAAAGGGCTATAGAACACAATAGTCAAGTTTACAGAAGTAAAAATCTGATTCTCTTCATAGACAAATTTGAACTGATATGAGCTGTAAAGATGTTAATTCATCTGGTCATATAAATCATTATTTTTAATCAACAAAGTGTTTAATTACAAAAAATATTACACTGCACAAAAAATCCACCAATCAGACAATCACAGCAAGCCAAAAGTTATATTTAGCTCCCCCTACAATTCATTTACAGCACTGTCAATATTTTTTCAAGATGGAGTAATCTTGAAAAAATATTGACAGTGCTGTAAATGAATTGTAGTCAAAGACACGTTACAAATTACATGATGATAACTGAAAACAGTTACAATCAGTGCTACAAAGTTAAGGTATTCTAATTACTTCTGTATTACTTTTGTTAAAAGCAATAAAAAATATAAAAGAGAATAAAAATAGGGAAAATCAATTTACACAGTTTTAATACTCACATTGTTTAGATACAAGCACCAATTTTAAGAGAACATTTTTATTTATTTATTTATTTTTTATTACTGTATCATTCTCAATACATCCTGGGTTTTTACTTTCCTTATTAAAGCTGCTAAATAAAAGGTTTTGTATTTTTTTTATCTAGTTTTTTTCCTTTCATTTTTGCAATGAGAAAAACAGGAGATAAACCTTATAATTGAAATTTAAAGGGCACATATGATGAAAATTGTGTGTCCACAGTCATACTGAAGTTATAGTAATCTCTTTTTTGAAATTTTCTGACGTTGACCGAATTAACTTCACAACAAATACATCAAATAATCATTGGGAAAGTTCTTACTGTTGTATTTCTCACAAACGTTACGTGAGATATGCTTCCTTCATGTCTGTTACTGTACTGTTTATCTGACTCAGACGGAAATTAAGGCACACTCTGACAGCAACGTTAGAACGGTGGCTGGGGTGAGCTAGCATTAAAGCCACAGGCAGCAAAAACAGCTACAGTGTGTTCAAAGCAGAAAATTGTAATGTTCTGAAAAGTATAATAAATTCTGGAGACATAAAATACTTATCTTATGGTATGAAAAAGGGGTAAAATAGGTGCCCTTTAAATTCTGTTCAATTATAACTCAACAAACTTTGCTTTAGCCATTTATGACTTATTATTACTTTGATAAAAACATATATTTATTTGGCCTTACAAAGCAAGTTATTAAATAGTTTTAAAGGGATAGTTCATCCAGAAATGAAAATTAAAAACATACTTGAGATTCTTTCCTCTGTTGAACACAAAAGAAGAATGTAAAAAAAAACAGCCATAGTATTATTTTTGCTACTGTGTATATAGTATCATAATATCTTGATTTGTGTTCAACAAAATAAAAGTTAAGAACTACTGGAGTGTGATTAAATAGTGAGGAAATTTTCATTTTGAGTGACCAATCCATTATTAAATAAAGCATGAGAAACCTCAGTTTACAAAATCACATTTTGACCTTGACATGCTCCAATGGAGTGATACCTTGCTGATTTTATCTGTTAATTTGAAATGCAATTGCATCTAGGATGTTGAAACATTTCAAATGCGTTACGTATTTCCTTGAGGACTTTGATCATAGATAGCTTAAATGAAAAAAACAGCAACAGATGCACACAAATCATTGCAAGACCATACATCCTAAAGAAACACTTCAGCCAGCCACACTATAACCATTTCATTAAGGCTGATATTACTTGTTCTGCTTCGGTGACCACTCAATATGTAGAGGAATAGATTTCATTTAATGATCTCCCTTTACAATATAAGCTGAATCATCATATTTAATTAGCCAGTGAGCTCAAAATCTGTCCAGCCGAGGGAGGCCCTATTATGCATTAAAGGGTCATCTTTTGGTTTTGGGGTCTCCATGTCTTATAATATACATTTATTTTTTCCACAATTATGTCATTTAATTGGTTTAGCAATTAATTTTTTTCTAGTGTTTGAGAGAGAGGCTGGGTTAAAGGTTTCCCGTGTCAGGCACCACATGGCAATGTTTAATATCGACATCAATAAAGATTAGAATTTAAGATGTTTTATATAGATGACTCTGGGTCCACTTTTTTTTTTTTTTTTTTTGAGAATCAATAGTTTTAAACACGGTGCACTTTCAGATTTAAACCTCTGTATAACATGAAAACCCATAATAGGGTCTCTTTAAATCAGTGACGGTGTATGGCAAGATCTTACCAAAAGTATGTGTGGAAATGTGTGACATTTAAGGGAGCAGAGCAGTGCAGATCCGTCTTGCATGTATTATTTTTGTACACCTGAGTGGGAAATAAAAATGAGCGCAAAAAGATTAAACATTTTTTTTTAAGTCACATCTACAAGAAAATATTTACACAGATATGTGAACAGATGATTTCCAGAATAATTTTTAAAGATATTTAAAGAATGCTTAAACACATATTCGTTATTCAGAGTAAAGTTTGTGGTACTTTATTTATTTATTTTTTTTATTTTTTATTTTTTTTACATATATTCACCTAAACGTCACTCTAATGTTAAGATGTCTGAATGTTTGTCATCAGTATATTTCTGCCAAAAAAAGTAACCTGAGTTTTTTATACATTTATTTAAAGATCAAAAGAAATTTGCCCTTGGATGATTTAATCACGCTTGGTCTATTCTCAGCTAACAATTTATGGTTCCCAGAATGTTTTCAGTTGGTTAATTTTTCTTTACGATAATAGAACATTCCCTTTAGGGTAAGAAAATATTCCCTAAACATACTTTTTATCCAGTGGAAAGGTCATTTTTTTATTACCAATAAAGAACCCTACAAATAACATTTCCAGAATACCCTTGTTTTGTTCTTAGGAAACAAATACTAAAACAGTGCTAAAACACAGTCTGTTTTAAACCCAAAGATAGAAAAAGAAATTCTAATAGCTAACTAGACATATGTGCTAGAAAACATATCATGCTTTGTTTTATCTAGTTCAGAGGTGGCAAAACTTTGGAAATATTGATGGTCCATTTGAGTATTAGTAGACTGTCTGCTTAATGTCTGTTGATACTACTCCCTCAAAAGACATTTAAATATAAGAAACTTTACAAGTACATGTCAACTTACACAAACCCTAAAACTAACCCCCACCTAACAGTCTACTTATAATCTAATGAGAATTAGTTGACACGTAGATTCAGTGTAACTTATATTCAACAAACGGACCATCAAAATAAAGTGTTACCCAAACTTTTTCTTATGAAGGGCCAACTTAACTTGATTGAGACTATTGGGTGAAAGGTAAATGTCATTGCTATCTGTAATTTCCTAATTTATTTAATAATGTTTAAAAAAAGACTTTAAAAA